GACAGCCCCCCTGGGCTGGGGGTTGCTCCTGGGAGCTGTAACGCTGCAGCCCAGCCCCTGCTGCTAGACCACCCCTGGCTGGTATCAGTTGTCCCCTTCATGGGGCACCCGCTCAGCGAGGGGCAGTGTGTCCCCTTTCCAAGCGTGTCACAGGCGCCCACTCACATGCAGTCCCTGCTGAGCTGCACACATGCATTTTGGGGCAAACACCTTTTCAGATGCGGTGCAGGATCCTGGGGTCTCTCAGGGCAGGCGGGCTTGAGTCTGCTCCGTCACCCATGGAAGTTGTGGGGGCGGAAGAGCCTTAAGGATTGTCACATGCAGTCCCCTGCACGGATGCAGGCTGTGCTGGTCCTCACCCGTCCCAGGTGGATGCTCATCCAGCCTCTGCTTGGAAACCTCCAGGGAAGGCAATTGCCTGGCTCCCCTGGGCAGCTTCAACCACTGTCCCGTGCTGACAGCTGGGAAGCCTCGTCTGAGCTCTGATCCATGCTGGCCCAGGGGCTTTGCGGAGCTGTCAGACCCTGGGCTCAGGGTTCAAGCCTTTGCTTACGTGAAGAAAACCAGTGGAGCCAGCGAGCACCGTGAGCTCCAGCAGGCAATATGCATTCATAAGCTAGCCCGGGAGCGGGCAGTCAGCCTTTTGTCCCATCTCTGACAGCACCTCATTAAACCCCCGGGTGCTTTCTGCCTTCACCTCGTTTGGATTCAGCGTGGACGAGCTCCTGTTGCTTGGTTATGTGGTGTATCTCACCCCTGCATGCCCCTTCCGCTCCCCACGCCAGGGCCTGCATCTCCAGGCTAGCACCCAGGCACCCCTCGCGCCATCAGCCTCTGAAAAGGCGGCTTCATATTCCTCCGCCAAGCTGCTGTGCCGCTGCACCCAGCCCTTCCCAGACCCCTTCACGAGGACGCTGGACAGGAGCGGGTTGTTGCACGAGTCCTCCATGCAGGATTGTGTCGGAGATGCTTTCCGATAGTCATGTAATAAAGGGGAGAAAACGGGAGCCCAGCGCAGCGCTTGGCCTTGTGCCTGGAGCAGAGCAGTGACCGGGGGTTTATGTTAATGCTGTGTTTTCTCTCCTTAATTATTCTCATCATCGCTGCCCTTGGCAGCATCTGCCTGGAAGACTTGCCCTTCTTCTCCCCCCTTTGGAAAGGCCGTGACAGGCTCTCCCGGCCGCGTTGGTCGACAACAGATCGGCACAATAAATAACGTTAAAATTCACAGTTTAGTTTTCATTGATTTCTCCCCCTCCCCAGGCCCAGTGCCATTTCCTCCTGTCCTCCCCCAGCTGAGCGCTGAACGTGAGCTGCCAGAGATTTATTGCAGGAAGGGAATCTGTGTCAGCTCCCGTCTGACCCAGATGATATCAAACTTGACTGGAATTGACAGTCGTTAAGCAAAAGGGAAAGGCTTGAGGGGATGGCATTAGAGGAGATTAGTGGGCAGGTTTATCAGGGATTTTGGTATCAATAGGCCCATTCAGACTGATGGTTCAATCGCCCTTAAATGCCTTCCCCCCATGGCGTGCAAAGGGGGCAGGATTCGGGAGCGGGGGCTGGTGGCCAGGGCAGTCCCCAGCGCACCCCCGGGCTGTTCTTGTCTGCGTCTGAGGCTCGCGTGGAGACTGCCCGGTGGCATTTGCACGCATGGCCTGGGGGTGGGTAACAGCTGCCATAACCAAGATACCACTGACATCCTTCGCCCAACGCCGAAGAGAGCCTGCTCCATCATGGTGGGGCGTACGAGGCCCGGCCAGCTGCAGCAGTTGCACGCGACCTTCCCTCTCCGCTCATGACGCAGGGGCCTTGGCAGGGAACCTCCAAACCTGCAGCCACGGGCACTGAGCCTGGGCTACTCTGTGCCATCAGCCAGACCCCGCTTGGGATTTTGGCCTTTGAGCTAGCCCTGGTGTCTGCCAGGCTCTGCCGAGCGCCAGGGCTCAGACCAGCCCTTCCAACTCGGAGCCTGCAACTGAGGAGCCCCTGCCGGCCCTTCTGCAGGTGGGTTTCACCCTGTGTCGTTCCAGCTGGCTCTGCTGAAGCCCCTTGCAAATGGGATTTCTCCCCTCGTGTCGTGGTGCTGCTCCAGAGTTGCTGCCTTTTTGCCCGAGAGCCTTTCCAAAGGCCTTTCTCGTGCACCGCTCTGATGCTTTTCTCTGCCTGTGTCCTGCAGCCAGTCCTGGGGACACCCAGTCGTCCCCCTCGCCACCCCCCAGCCCTTTGGAGCACGAGAAGACCCCCCAGGAGCCGCTCACCCTCACCCTGGAGAGCAGCAAGGAGAACCAGCAGCCGGAGAGCCGGGCAGGCTCCGCGCTGGGCGGGAAGACGTACCCCAGCAGCCAGGGCCCCATGGGCATACAAGAGATCGTCGCCATGTCTCCCGAGCTGGACACCTACGCCATCACCAAGAAGGTCAAGGAGGTGCTGACGGACAACAACCTAGGTGCGGACACGGGGCGGCTCCTGGGATCGCACGTGCCCCGCGCTCCAGGGCCTCGGGGCTGACGGCGGGGAGGCGGGGGCAGGCACGCAGCAGAGTGACGCGGCCCCCAGATCTCGGGTCAGGTCCCTGTGGCCTGGCCAGTGCTGAGAAGGGCTCTTCCGGGCCAGGCGGCAGTGAGGTGGGACAGGCCAGGGGTCAGGCTGACCCAGCCACGTCCGTCGTACGACACTCTGCTGCATCGGCTCAATCAGGAGAGTTGGCTCCTCTCCGACCTCGGGCAAGCCAAGTCCCCCCAACTCCACAAGTTCGGTGTCGTGGGCTGGAATAGAGGCAGGGCTGGGCCCGTAGGAGGGGCAGCTTCACGGGGTGGTAGAGCCGGTCCTGTGGACAGCTGTACCCTGATGTCAGGGGACCCTGGCCAGGCCACGGGGCCCTGCACTGCTCCCAGGGCCTGTCATGGGGCTCGCGTGCCCAGGAGCCTGCCCTGCGGGCACGTGCGGTCTAACCCCCTTCTGCTTCTCCTCTGCAAGGCCAACGGCTGTTCGGGGAGAGCATCCTGGGCCTGACGCAGGGCTCGGTGTCCGATCTCCTCTCCAGACCCAAGCCCTGGCACAAGCTGAGCTTGAAGGGGAGGGAGCCTTTTGTCCGCATGCAGCTCTGGCTCAACGACCCGCACAACGTTGAGAAGCTGCGCGACATGAAGAAGCTGGAGAAGAAAGGTGAGCGCCACGTGCCTGGTCCATCCCCCGGGGTTGGTCCAAAGGGGCTGCCCAGAGCTGGCCCCAGGCATTTTGAGGCTTCCCAAGGCACAGGTCTGACCCCAGTCACACGCTGGCGTCAGTCAGGAGGTGGGATGTGCCGTCCGCTCTACACCCGTTGACTGCAGCAGGGACATCCCAGGCTGCGGGCCATCCTGGACCTCTCCCGGGATTGAGCGTGATGCGACTGAGTGCTAACGAGCAATGCTGCCTGATGGCGCTGGGGGGCTGATTGGTACTAACAAGGCGGTTCTTGTCCAAGGATGCCTAGCCCATCCCACTCCTGGTGGGGAGGGTGCTGGGGAGATGGGCAGACAGGCCACGGATGTGATGGCTTCCCCGTCCCTTCAGTGAGGGGCTCTTCCCGGCTCTCCGGAGGGATGAAGCACTAGCGTGTGAGGCAGGGGCACTTCCCGGCAATGGATGTGAAGCCTGTGGGTTTCCTGCAGCAAGGACGTGCTGCTCCGGAGCTCAACACGGATGCTTCAATGGCCCTTTAATGTCTGCCGGGGGTGCCCAGTGGTACCACACCGAGGGAGGGCAGGGGGAAGCTGCCAGCAGCACAGGGCGCCTCACACACAGGCTGGATGTCCTCTCGCCCCTGCAGCGTATCTGAAGCGTCGCTACGGGCTGATCAGTGCCAGCTCGGACAGCGAGTCGCCGAATGCCCGCTCAGAGTGCGCTAGCCCCAGCCTCCAGCCCCAGGACCTCAGCCTCCTCCAGATCAAAAAGCCCCGTGTGGTGCTGGCACCGGAGGAGAAGGAGGCCTTGAAGAAGGCCTATCAGCTGGAGCCCTACCCCTCCCAGCAGACCATCGAGCTGCTCTCCTTCCAGCTCAACCTCAAGACCAACACGGTCATCAACTGGTTCCATAACTACAGGTAGCGGGTCCAGGGGGACGGCGTGCCAGGGGCGCGGGCTAGGCAGAGCTCTGGCTGTGGCTTTCAGACATGAGAAGCAGGCGAGGGTCTGCCTGGCATTCGGGGCGAGGGAGCTGGGGGTGCCCGCTCCAGGAGACGAGCAAAGACAGGCCCTGTCCAGGGTGCGCTGGAGAGTCTGTGCATCCCACAGCCCCAGCAAGAACCCAGCTGGCCGAGGGTGCAGGGTGCAGAGATCTGCAGGGGCTGCTCCCTCCGCCGTCCTGCCCCCACCCGACCCATGGGAATGACCGAGGGGACGTGAGCAGGGTGTGGACAGGCCCAAGGATCAGCTGGAGATCCCCGCTCCCAGGGATTTCTCGCAGCAGTGGTGCCGCACTCTGGTTTGCTCTGACTTTTCCAGATTGAATTTGCCTCCATGGGGTTAAAAATGTGTTGAAAAAGTGGGGGGAAAGGGGCAAAAAAAGAGCAGAGCTGTTTCTTCCCACCTGGCTGCTGGCTGTCTCCTGCCACTCGTGTCCCTGAGGGAATGCAATGTTCAGTTCGTTTTTTGGCTGGGCCAACAAGCCAGAAAGCCACCGAGTCTCCGCACGTGCTGCCCCAGCCCTGCCCCACCCCAGCCCGTGGCCCTGCAAACACCAGGCCCCCAGGGGCTTCATGCCTCGCTGCATGGTGACCATGCGGACCCAGCCAGAGCCACGCAGGTTCCCGTGCCGCGGTTACAGCCCCGCCGTGCTTGTGTCGCAGGTCTCGGATGCGCCGGGAAATGCTGGTGGAAGGGTCCCAGGACGACACGGACCTGGAGCAGAGTGGCTGCGGGGGCATTGCACCGCCCGGTAGCTCGCTCCGAGGCGCCAACCCGCAGAGCCCCGATTCAGAGGCGGAGGACAGGAAGCCGGTCTTCAGAGACGCGGAGCCCCGGAGGTCGAGCGAGGCCCTGGTCCAGGTCAAACAGGAGCAGCCGGAGCCCGGGGAAAAAGGCGAGTGTTACAATCACTGGGACTTGTGTGGCCTGGACAGGGAGCCGGAGCTCGTGGCCACGTCCATTCAGCATCCCAGCCTCAAGGAAGAGCAGGATGATACCACGTGTGCGGGGGCCTCCCAGAGGGCCCCCCCCAGCACCACCAGCCTCCCACGGAGCAGCAACACGTCCAGCAAGACGCACGCGGCCGGGACTGCCGACTGCTCCACCCAGCATGTGCCCCAGGAGCTGGAGGGTGGGGAGAGGCTGCATCCTGACCCCATTAGCTTTAAATCTGCCTCGGAGTCCTCCCGCTGCAGCCTGGAGGTCTCCCTGAACTCTCCCTCGGCAGCTTCCTCTCCGGGCCTCATGATGTCCGTCTCGCCAGTCCCGTCCTCCTCCGCTCCCATCTCCCCATCACTGCCAAACGCCGCCTCTGTCAAAGTGCAGAGTTCGAGTCCCGCCACAGACACGGGCTCTTTACAGCAGAGCACGAAGCTGAACACAAACATCCAGCGGAGGCACGAGAAGATGGCCAACCTCAACAACATCATCCACAGGCTCGAGCGGGCTGCGAACCGAGAGGAGTCGCTGGAGTGGGAGTTCTGAACCGCGGGTCTGCGCCCCGCACCCCGGGACCTGCCCGCCGCTTCGGGCTGCTGGTGAGCGGGGAACCCTCCCGGAGTACACGTACACACACGTACACACATATATATATTTTGTTAATTTTATCACGTACTGACAAGGAAAGAAAAATCCGATTGGGTTCGTGAGAAAGTGAAGGGAAAGCTCAGCCTGTATCTTCTGCCTCTTGGCCCTCCGTGGAAGGGGACACCGAAACCCAAGCAAAACAGATGCCCCGTCTTTGTTTTAAATGTGAAAAACTGGGAACACTTTTAGAAAAAAAAATATTTATAGACCTCTTTTAGATATTTTAATAAAAGGATACTTTGGAATTTATTAACAGCTTAAGCTGCTTTGATATTAAAGATAGCTATAAAATCAAGATGATGTAGCAGTTGTGTCATTAAATGTACACTGAAGTCTTGTAGTTTGCCACTGGATGAGATTAAAAACAAAAAAAAAAAAGACTTACTGATCAAAGCCATCAAGAAGCACTATGAGACTGACCAAATTTAATAAACTTTTGAATAGCGGTTTTTCCACATTTGTCTGTAAGACACTGCATTACTTGCCCTTTGCAGAGACTATGTTATAGTCTGTGAAGACTCTAAATTGAAAACCTGGATGCCATCAAGTATGTACTTAGTCCTGGTGGTATGTTTTGAAACCTTTGTAACACAGAATGTCACGTGCAGTTGTATATGTTGTAGAAATGTCTGCAGTAGCCTTCCTGAACAAGATGTAGCATGGCACATAACTCCTTACACTTCCTCTAGATAGTAACCTGTGATAACCCAAAACGAACGGATCGGTGACAGCTGTTGGCGGCAAAGCTCTCTGTCCGTTGGCAAGAGCCAGTGAAAGCACCCGTGGCTCTGATCTCGAGAGAGAAGGAAAAGGCACCTGGGTGTGCACATCTTCGACGTGTCCCATTTGACAGTAACAAACTTCGGCGGTGGCCACGACCGCACCACATCTTATGCATCCACTCCAGTGCTGCGGGGAGCACCAGCCAGCAGGTTCCCCTCGCTCTGCAGCCTTTGTCTTGTTGAAGTGAGCGGTCTCTGAGTTCAAAGCCTTCGAGGGTCAGCGCTTAAAGGACGAGCCCTAAAAAGATACAAACCGCCGGGACCCGAACGGGCTTTGGGGTGGTTTGTTTTCACATGAGTCGAATCCAGCTGGCACAGCTGAATCAGCACCTTTTTGGTTCCTAGAGTTAGGACTATGGAGAGAGCGCCCGGGAGTGAGGATCAGCCTCCGGGGCGGCAGCCATCGACCGTGAACAGCCGTTGAAATGTCACCTTTCCCATCAGCCCTCGACTGCTCTCTGCCGAAGCGACAGGAGACAAGCCCTGACCCCCTGCTCCGCGCTCAGCGCCGGGCGGGACGCCTCGGCCCAGAAAAGGCTTGCTTCCACCTCGCTCGCACGCGGACAGTGCCGGCCGTTTCAAAAATTGCCCGCTGGTCCCTGCACTGCCCCAGCGCCTCCCTGGGCTTCAGTGGGGGGTCCTTGGTGACGGAGCCAGGCCCCAATTCAGCAAAGCACTTTTAAGCAGGTGCCTTGACTTTGAGGGGGGAAGGGGGAGGTTCATCACATGTGCAGAGTGAACTGTAAGCTGCTTGCTGCCTTGGCTCCCCAGGCCCTGACCCAAAGCCCCCGGGAAACAGTCTTCTGGCTGATTTCAGTGGGCACCGGGTCAGACCCTCCTCGCCGGGATCACACCCGTGGCACCACCTGGAAGGAGAGGAACCCAGATCTCCGTGCTACGAGTCGCCCCTGGACCGCGCGGTTCTCCCTGCCCTCGCTGCGAACGCCCGATGGGCGGACTGACATCTCTCTGTACCCACCCCCGCGATCTAGCCCCAGCTTATGCAAATGCCTTTGAGAGACGCATCCGTGGGTCGTGTTGGTTTGCTGTGTATTGTTTTGTTTTGTTTTGTTTTGTTTTGTTTGGGGGTTTTTTAAATGCATTTTGCAAGCACCGAAGTACAGCATGCAAGGGACTGCCCCACCCCACCCGGACTGCCACCCCGCCGACACTCGACAGGACAGGAGCGCGCGTCCTGCAGGCACTGAGGCTATGCATCGAACAGTTCCCCACTGGACTCGTTTTTATCAGAAGAGAAGGTATTTTTGTACTCGGGTGGTAGTTAACGACCAATTTTAAAAACAACTCCGTTCGGCTCCATGCAAGGCCCAGCTCCCACCTGCCACGTCGTAGCGACGGTAGCCCTGTCCAAACAAGCGAGAGCTTGTCCGACACAACGATTTTTACTGGTTTAACCCCAACACGCCATCGAAGGTCTAGGCATTCGCATTGACTACTGTTCTTCTTAGTGTGCTAGTGTTAGCTTTAGTGGAACGGGATTTGATGAAGCACTTAGCATAGTCTTTCCGAACACCGAAATCCTGTTGTACTAAAAGCTAGTGGGACATGTTGATCACATTTTGTTAGGCTCATGTACTGTACTTCAAAAGTTTCTATGAGATTGATGAACTTTGTTAAAAATTTTAAAAAGGAACAAGTTCTGTAAAGAGCCACTAAATACAGAAGTTGTATAATAACGTGGGCGCGTGGGTTTGTTGTGTTCTGTGTGGTTTCCTCCAGCCTCCGCATCCACGCGTTGCCTGGCTCCCTCTTCTTCCAGACCACGCTCCAGGCGCCAGCTTTTGACAGCTCAGTAGATGGGTGATACACATGGTTCTTGCTGCATAGCCCTAGCCGCGGATGAACCTAGGATTTTGAAAAGGAAGGCGCGATGCATCATCACGTAGCACACAGCACACTTTTCTCCAGGTAAAAAGAAACTAGAAGCGTTACTAATATGCTAGGGCTGTGCTCTTCAGTTTAATGCAGAAGCAGAGAAACTAGAACTGTATTGGAGTGCACGTTCATTTGCTATATCATTCGTTATGTATTGAAAAACACAACCAGCTAGGCAGACAGTCATCAAAAGATGCTGTTCCTTTAGTCCTGTAGCCACTGGAATAGTTCAGACCCATAAAGCCTCCTTGAGCATCTTGACAGCGCACCCCGTGTGTCACTGAAAGGTCTTCCCACACCTGAGTTAATGTTAATGTTTGCTCGAGTTAACGTTTCCATGCCTGAGTTCATGTTTTAGCTAGAGTTAACAACAACCTGCAGGGCTGTGAAGTAGGAGCTACAACACCAGGAGCAGCTAAGAGCAGCATTGCAGAACAGAGGCCAGCTCCATTAGTGGAACATGAAAACCATTAATAAAGGAGAGAGGGTCCGTAACGGCTGCAGAGCGAAGAGTTTAGGAGGAGTCAGGTAGATAAGAATGAGCCATGAAGTCAAGCCACGCCATCGCTGCTGCCAGAATAGACATGTTGCCCCGCCGGGCAGTCGGTTTTAAACTTTGGGCGGAGCAGGAATCAAAGCGGGGTGCAACTGCACCACTGCACCCCCCAGATCCGCCTGGCCCCAACCCACCAGCCACATCGAAGAGCCTCGTGGCTCGTTGCTGCAGCAGTTCAGCCGGCCCCTGGACGCTCTGCTAAAATCAGGGGCTGGGGCGCAGCTCCCCTCTAAGACGTTCTCGTCCAGGTGCCGCGTGGCCTCGCGTGGAAAGTTGGCACTCAGCGCGCGCAGGCTGTGTCTGTCCGCACCGTTCTGCGCTCGGCGAATACCACCAGCTCGCGCCGTTGTGAGCAGGGAGCGGCGTTCCTGTCCAGAAAGCAGCGGCAGGATTCCCTCTGGCTACGCTGCCCCCGATGCGACGCCTGGATCCTGGTCTCAGCTGTGCCACTGACTCACTGCCTGACCCAGGTAAGCTGCGTCCTCCCCCATCTCTTGGTCTCCCCAGAGTAACACCATCCTCTCCGTGGGGGCGTGGGGGGAGGCCTGAGCAATGGGTTTGCCTTCCAGGGGAAGATGAGGGGTGAGGCCAGGTGCCGTGAAGCTGCCCAAGAGCGTCCAGCCAGTGGTACTCGGGAAAGGATTTGCTCCTCCTGAATATCGGCCACTTCTCCCGGCCACGGCCAGGGAAACCAGGTTCAGGCTCTGCAGACAATGAACAGGAGCATGGATAGCCCTCGGGCTGCCGGGGGCATCCCCTTTCGCCCCCTCCCCGGCCAATCTGGGGAGCGATTCATTCCAGCATCGGTCTTTCAGCTGGCGCAGTAAAGCAAGGTAAGTCCTGGAGAGCCGGGGCTGAGGATCCAGTGCTTAGTTAGCTAGCAGCCAAGAGCCCCAGCCATGCTACAGACTCCCTGGGTCACCTGGAATGGCCTACTCCCACGGGCCATGGCGAGGCTCGGGTTTGTTGAGCGATGGATGTGCCGGTCCGTGCACAAGAGGGGCCAGTCACCCCCGGTACAGCCGTCTCCCTCCAAGCTCAAGCCAGGTGTTGGCAGGGCATTGGATCAGCAGTGTTTGCTCCACGTCCGAAACAGGGCTGTACTTCCTCGCGCCATGCGGGTCGCGTTCCTCAGCTCCTGGGCTGACCCGGGCGGTTCCTCCCGCACGCCACGGGACCGTCGCTGCTAAGACTACATCGCGGGGTCGGCTTGGTGGGGCTGGGTTGTCCTGGGATGCCTCGTTCGTGCCGAAGCTCTCCTGTGCTTTGCACTGGGATGGCCCACAAGTGGCAAAGCGTGCAGCTGGTCTGTCCTGGGACCGAGAAGTACTCGGATGCAGGGCTCCGACCCGGGCGGTGGGTGCATGGTCCGGATGCCGGCGAATCTGCCCTTCCTCCCCGGAAAGGGCCTGTGCGTCTGCGGGGGCAAAGGGCCTGCGTCTCATCCCAGCTCGCAGCGCTGCCGGTCGATATTTCCCAGACCGTCGCTCCATTTTCATGCCGTTGTGCCTGGGCCTGGCTGCTCCCGGTTTTATGAGCCAGCTAATTACCAACGATTCCACTGGAAAGGAGACCAGAGGGATTCATTAAGGCAAGGAAAAGGGCCAGCTGAGGCAGCCAGACCTGCAAGACAGAGCGGGCACCACATTGCAAGCAAGAAAATTCAATAGTCGAGAGAGACCTGTGATCTCAGCCCCTGGCAGGCTGATGGAGGCTGGATCCAAGAAATTGGGGGTGGATGCACGTCCAGTCTCGGTGCACTGGAGAATCTGGTACGACGGCTGGGAGACGGCACCGTGGGGCAGAGCGGCAGTAGCTCCTGGTGCTTCCCAGGGACCACGCTCCTCTGCAGCCCTGAGGGAAAGCAGGAGGGTAAAGACACCCGGACACGGAGCAGTTGGCCAGGGGTGAGTGTGGGGCACCGAACTGAGGCACTGCGAGCATTACCATCAGTCCCAGAAGGCACCTTATACACGGATTAAGCCAGAGAGGCCGTAAGCTTTTACAAGCCCGAGCTCTCTTCATCAGATGCTGACGGCTCGCGAGAGCTTGCGCCTCTCTGACCGAGTCGTTCCATAAGGTGCATCTCTCCCCAGAGTTTGGACTAACACGGCTGACTGCCTCCGTGCCCTTTCATCACAGGAGCATTTACACCCCAAATCCACATGCAAATGGGATCCTTCAGCTGTATCTTCTCCATGCGGGGACAGTCCCGCTCTGCCTCTCCCCAGCTCCGGGGCCGGGGGCTCGGGGAAGGTGAAGGAGCACGTCTGAGGCAACGGAGACCCTTCTTGGGAACGAAGCTCAGTCAAGTGCCCGGGTGCTCCTGAGCAGCGTTTTCTAAACCATTTTGCTCCTGTTCTTAGAGACGAGGCCGGACTCTGGTCTCAGCTGCGATGGAGCTGGGTAAAGACACGGGACAGGAGGTGCCTGGTTTTGGAAGTACTCGATGTACCGTACCTGCCAAACACAGCGAACGCTACTGAGCAAAAAGCCTCGTCGGGGGGGATTGTCGAAGCACGTTGGCCGCGCGGGTCCAAACGCCTCAGCTGCTTCTCCCGCTCGACGTGAAAGCGCTTTGGTAAAAGCTTTTCGCCGACGAGTGCTGTCCGGATCTTGGTGCAAAATCTGCCGCTGCCCTGGGAGGAGCTGCCGCAAGTCGCAACCGTGCCACGGTTGCCTCCCCATAAAGGAAGAAGAAAATTGGAAAACTTTGGCCTAATCTCGCTGCGCTGTGTGCGAGGAGCTGCTGGCACGTCCCTGCCAAAGGCTCAGCCCGCGGTGAGGCACTGCAGGCAAAGCAACCCTCTCTCGGAGCGAGGGGGCATCTCCAGAAAGAGTTACAAGCGCCACGCGCCTGCGCTTACCAGGCCGGGCAAGGCCACCCCGGCTTTCTGATCAAGGAGCGGCATCACCATGTTCGCACGGTTCGTTAGCACCACGTGCTACTAATCGGGCCAGCTGCAGCCCTGTGCACACCTAGCTGCCCTGCTCGCAGGTCAGGGTCTGCTGAGGGCACCGTGGGGTTGCCGGGCGGACGTGCCCCCTGAGCTGTGTTTTGGAGAGGGGCTTTGGGGGATGGCAAGAGGCTCTTTGAAGACGCTGCCAATTAGTTTGGGGCCGTCCCCCACGCGGGACTGGGAGCCAGCCTGCAGTAGGTGAGGGCTTAACCGGTGTCTCTCTTCTAATTTGCAACACCCTCTTTTCTCACTGCGGGCCTGGTCCTGAGGCACTCTGACCCCACTCAGCACCCACTGGCTTCAGTAAGGTGTACAGGAGCTCAGGCCTCGTCTCTGCACCGGGGGCTGGACCCCGCCGTACAGAAATCGATGGAGGATTTGCTACCGGTTTCAGTGGGTGCAGAATCCGCATGACATGGCACTCGGCCGGGCAGTAGTCCCAAGGGTGTAATACCCCTGGGCTCTGAAGTCCCAGAGACCTGGAGTTTCTCTGCAGCAAAGAGCTGAGCAGTTTTTTCCAAGCATGAATACATTGGAGGCCAGGTTTTGTGGACATATTTTTAATCACTTGAGTGCTGTTAGCTGTGAATTTTGAGCAAGTATTCCCTAGGATACATGGAGCTGGTAGTTTGCACAATCCTTAATGAAGGTGAGGGCTAATGAAAATATTTGATTCTGGAGGCTTGGATTATCAAAGAAAAAGAAACCCTGCCATGTGTTTGCAGACAGTCTGGCTTCCATCTGATGATACTTCTGCTATTGCCCAAGCTGGCAATCTTTAGTATGCTTTGTATGTGTGAAAGTATCACGCGGGGAAGCTCGGTTAATAATTCCACCTTCTTCGCCGTCAAGCCAGCCCGAGCCCTTGGCTGCACTGCTTTGCATTGGGTTTATCATCTGAGCTCCCCCTCGCAGCTCACCTCAGTCAGAAAAAGTGATGATCGTTGCTCTCTGAACTGCGATTTTCCATGCTTGTTGTTACCAAGCAAACAAAACTCATCCTACAGCTGCCCGTCACCAATACGCTTCCGAGAGATTTCACGGAGGGACAAAGGGTGGTTTAGGTTGCAGGGTTTATTACGCTAATGCTAAAAAGGCAATTATCAGATTGAAAAGAGCCGTGGTGCCTTGAAGTGCCCTAGTGCTTGGATAGCAATGTATTCATGGATGGTCATGGCATTTCAGCTGTTTTCGTGGTACAGGACGCTTTCTTTATCCCTTTACATCCAACCGCTCCCCTCCCGCTGTGATGTTGCGCTCCCGTCGCTGGACAGCAGAGCGGCCTCAGCCCAAGCTGTTAAGCCTCTATGACAGTGTTGATGTAAGTGGGAAGGCTCCCAAACCGGGGCAACCAGTGCAGTCCGATCTCCAGGGACTTTCAGTATTAAAAGTCTGAGCTGCCCCCACGTGAGCTAGTGCAGTAGTTCCTGTAGCTGGCAGCGGTCGTGGGCGTTTATACAAACCAGCCGGCAGAAGAGCTATAAACCCACATTCGACTTGCGATACCCTCATGTGCTTTCCCATTGTGTAAAATTGCTACGGGTTAAACCTTGCTACAACTTAAGTGAATGTCAGAACTCCTCTGGGACCAAGATTTGGAGCTAAAACCTATGCACGTATTTAATTTTAACAGGTCACGCGCAAAGCCTGACATATAAGGGACCAAGCAGCATTTCTGCAATAGCTTTTATCCTAGCAAGGACTCGGATCTAGTCTGTGGGGAGGGCCAGACACAGAACCACTCAGCACGGAAACGACGGCCATCCAGCATTTTAATTACATTGCTTTCTTCCACAAACGGGGGGTAGGAAGTGAACCGGACAAGGCAAAACGTCCCCTTGTGCAAATTCCAAAATTCGGGTGTACATCGGGAACGACCACGGGGCAACACCATAAATAACAATGAGGCACAACACAGGTGGAATTGAAAATCAAATGGGAGAGGCCACACCAAAATACATAACACAGCCTAATGCACTTACTTGGGTCACGGTCCTCTAGCGGGTCGTCTTAGTGTTTACAACTGATGTGCGAGACGCACAAAAAGTTACACAAATACATAGGTAAATAGGACTCAATAGCAACTTTGGCACAGCTCACGAAGCACGGCACGTAGCATCCTGGTCTTGTTGGTGGGGTCGTTCTCTTTGACTAATGTGTTCCTGGTGTCTCTGGCAGGAGGGTTTTTGTTCCCCCCACCGGGCAAATGACACTTCGCTTTACAGAGACAACTAGCCTCGATATCAAGGCTAGCATCTTGGCTTAGCCATACAGGGGGCTTAAGTGTTGTTTCCTTCTGCCCAGGCATTTCTGCCGTGCCCAGGGCTGCGAGCCTGCAGAGTGTTTCCCTACCGGGCAGTACGTTACCATTTGCAAGTCAGATCCTATTCGTAGCCTTCAGCGGGCAGAAGCCATTGGCAACCTATGTGGGTTGTTATGCTGAAAAGCCCCTTTCCCCACAGTCCAGGCGAGCTCACCTCTTACCCTACAATGTGTGCGTTTGTAATGTCAGATCCCTCCAGGAGGTCACTCCACTGGACTTACACCTGGGATGAAGTTGCCACTGATGGACACACGCAACATGGTCACCTTGCCACTGCCGTACGGTGGGAGTGGAGCTCTGCTGTCACTCCGTCACATGGCTCTAGCTAACCACTCACTTTGCACAGCAGAAGCTAGGTTTTGTAATGGCAGTTCCCTGGACAGACACAAATGCCAGCTCCTAAGAAACGCTATGAATCTAGAGCGAGAGTCTGTGTTCTCTTATCTATTTTTAACATCCCTGAAAGCCAGGAGCACTCGACAGAGGCAGGTCACCAGATTTCCCACGAGCTGCTGCAAGGCACCTTCACCGAGGGCTGCACTGTGTTTTCAGCCCTGAAAGTTTTGCCCTCCTTTCCCTGGGAAGTTCGACTGTTGCAGGCGCTGATGCAGCGCTCCGCAGAGGAATTCTGTTTCAATGCAGAACTTACCAACGGCTTGTCTGTAATAGAAATAAATAAGACACTCTCATGCGGGCACATACATCGCTCTGGCAGAAAGGCTGTGGCCCGTTCAATGCTATGTACCAGGAATCCAGCCCAAGGAGTGTGGAAGGGACCTCACAATACAAGCCCTGGGAGGCTGCTATATACTCAGGCAGTCTTTGATATAGTTCAGCACTGCCGAGAACTAGATGTCATTGTTAAAGTGGGAAGGAGCATTTGCTGGATTGTGACGGAGACCCTGTCCCAGAACGGAACGGAAAAAAGAGGCTGGCAGTGAACGAAGCCAGCACCTCTGACGCTTCAGGAGTAATGGGAATTAAAAAAAAGGGAACATCAGAAGTCTTCAGTTCCTCACTGGGATGAGATGAAATACCGCATGTGATTTTCGGTTCGCTTGAGCTATATTTGAATCCCGGATTGATTGCCTTTCTATGTATCTGGGCACTGAGCCCGCTGCGTTTCCTTCAACAAATGAACGGAGCCCATTTGCAATTGGCAAACGGGGCTTAATGCAGACAAAATGAAGTGAGCTTTACGCTCCGCAAGCAGCCCTGGTACACGCACAGGTGGGCATCTGTTTAGCGCTCGTTATTATTCATATTGCCGTAGCGCCCAGGGCCCCGGTCCTGGATGACGACTGACCGCAGTGTTATGGAGGAGCAGGTGTTTTAAGCACAAAGCAAGTGTGGTCCCGCAGGCTGAGCTACACCTTGCAGAGCTGTCCCCGAATGCGCCCGCACCGCCCGCCGCACCATCCGGCACGTGCCGAGCAGCAATTTAACTCTTGCTTCCACCTGAATCCAAACTCCCATGAACGGATCTGGGAGTATTGGGGAATGTCCCACATGGCAAAAGGGAGATGTGGCTGGGGGAGAGCGCCTGGGGGGAGAAGGACACAATCCTTCCGAGCTGTGGTGGGGACAGCATCTGGTTTTTAGTGTAAAAGAAAAGTTACCAAAGGTTAAGCTAAGTTGTTTGGAGTATTACTGTGATGGCCACTCTGCTCGGGTGCAAGTCCCACCTACCAGCTCCAGGGACTCGTGGTATTTAATTAAAACGGGGGCGTATTGCTGCCGTTAACGAGGCTGACGCTCCCACCCCCAGGGGCAACACCTGAAATAACTTCTCTGAGAAGACACCTCTGCAGAAGGCCTTTATCTGTGGCGTGGTTTTGTCCCATTTAAAACAGAAACGAGGAATCGGCCGTGCGCGCCCTTCTCCGATGGGGGCAGATTGTTCTTCCTTTCGATTTTGCGACAGGGAGATCAACCGAGCTTCAGGTAGGCACGAGTCGGTGACTTCAACCCGAGGCGTCCCTCCCTCTCGGCCATGTCAAGGGGAGGGGGACAAAAGCAGAAAGATCTCGGGACAACCAGGGGAGCGTGACACAAGCAATGAAAACACGTGGCTTTCGATGAAGAAAACCGTCTTCCGAAAAAGAGCGTCTGCGCTCCGACAAAGCCTCCTCGCACGTGCCTGTGGCGCTCAGCTCAAAGAGGATGTCTTTCTTCAAAGCCCCGTAACACCCAAGTCCAACCTCATTCCTGAATCCTGAGCGAGACTGGCCCAGCGTTGCTATTCACATCCCGGCTGCTGGTTAGTTTGGTGAGACCCAGGCCTGAGAACGAGGCAGAAAATCTGCCCCTGCCCCGTGCCGGGGCAGCGATGACAGACCGGGGGCTTTGAGCAGGCCTGGTATTTCTGACGTCCGGTGTCCCAGAGGCCAGGTGGGCTAAAGAGCTGATCTGAGCCACGGTGGCAGCAGGTTACGAGGCAGCAGTTTGCAACAGAAACCCCCCTTTTCCCATCCCCGTCTTGCAGCTGGCACGTCGGATGCTGCAGGAATGTGAGGCCTGCGGACGGGGACAGATGCTTTCAGACCTGGAAGCTTTTCCCTCCGCAGATCCACATGGGACGTGGAGCCCTGAGGGACGTCTCCAAAACCCTGTCGGAGATGTCGCTTCTCAAGCACAAGCCTGGACCACCGGGCCTAATGTCAGCGGCCAGCAACAGAAGGGCCAGGCAGGACTCATGGCCGCAGGAGGAAGGGCAGGAATCAGAAGGCAGAGTCAGGAACAGCCCCAGCCTCTCCCACGTCCACCCTGCCGACGGCCGGGGAAAGGCAAGAGCGTCTCATTTAAATCACTGCCAGAGCCGGGCATGTGACAGGAGACGGGGACTTTCCCCTCCTGCGACGGGTCAGCGCCGCGTGAGCGTGTCTCAGGCTTGGCTCACGGCCCGGGCGGACGGCAGGGACAGCTCAGCGTTTCCGAACGAGTCTCCCCTCCAACCCCATCTTGCCGTGCTGCTCGGAGAGCCCCCGTCACAGCTGGTGCCCCCCCCCCCCCCCCCCCCCCTCTCGCCGCAGCTGGATGATCTCTCTGCCGTACCAGTCGTGCAACCTGGAGAAAGACGCCGTGCCTGGGCACACGCAGCTCTCCGCTGCCACGGGTCCCGTGCCACGGCTATTGCCGGAGGAGGCGCGTCGGCGAGGCGGCAAGGGAGGTGGCTTGGGGCCGACTTCGCAGCCGCTCCCCACGGCCGGCTTCCTGCTCCCCGAGTCAGCAGGGCCTCCGGGGATGCCCCCGTCGGGCAGGTCCTTCATGCCCGGGGTGTTATTCCACACCGCACAGCCGTTCTCCTTCAGGGAGGGACAAGACAGCCCCGGGGGTTTCTCCCGAGGTGGCGGCAGCTCCACAGTGACGGCCGCAGGGTCCGGTCCCAGGGCTGGCTTGCTCTTCCGGTAGATGGGCGACCTCCGATGGACTCTGCGGCAGCCGGGCAGGCCCCGCTGCATCTCCTCCAGCTGCTTCTCCAGCTCCTTCACCACCAGGCGCATGTAGTCGAAGCTGGCCCGCGACAGGGACTTGACCCAGGACTCCATGGCGGCCTGGCTCTCGGCCGCCAGGATGTAGGTGCGCGACTTGGCACAGCCGAACTTGATGGCGAAGGCAAACTCCTCCGCGGCCTCGCACAGCTCCACCGTGCAGCCCTCCAGGATGATGACGCCCACGGGCTCCCGGCTGTCCTTCTCCTCGAAGTAGAAGAGCATGTTGCCCTTCAGCACGAACCAGCGCTTGTGGTACGCCGTGTTGCGCTCGCCCTTCTTGTAGAGGAAGCCGGCGTTGTCGGCGGGGGAGTCGCAGGTGGCGTAAAAGGCCAGGCTTCGCTCATTCAGCTTCATGGCTCCGAGACCTGGGGAGAAAGAAAGAGAGGGAGGGAGGTTGGTACGACGCTGGGAGAGGTGTCCTAGCCCTGCTTCATCCTCTGAGCTACAAGCAAAGACCCATGAGGGTCCCAGCAGCCAGGCTGAAGCCACTGCCTCAGTCAGGCCCTAACGATGTTCAGAGCACCGTGGGTCCTGCCCCCGACACCGTGGACCCCTGGGGAGATGCAGAGACCCTATGCATCGTTCCCACTGCCTGCAACTGGGGCTGAGCAGCGGGTCCAGGGGTGAGAGTGCGAGTGCGGGGGCAGAGGGCAGGAGCGGTGGAGGTGTAGGAGGAGACGTGCGCGGAAATGTGGGGCGGGTGGAGTTAGGCTCCTGGATGGGAGAAGAGGCTGGGAAGCAATGCAGACGAGGAGGAAAAGCCGGCACAGCGCCGAGGGCGTGGAGGGCACGGGTGGATCTGCAGGGCGGATGGAAACGTGAGCAATGGGAACAACTGGCCTGCCGCCCCGTACCCAGAGATGCCATGTAACTGGGGCAGAAAGGTCTGTCCCAACAGCGGCTCGGGACGGATCTGTTAACACCCTGGTGACACCGTGGCTGGTGCCTGGCATGCGAGGGACTAATCCCAGCTCAGCTGGCCCTGCCCCTTTTCCCAGGGGTTCCCGGGAAGGGCTGTCAAATGCCCGCTGGGAGGCATGGGGCCAGGCTGCGGGATGAGGCTCTTGGCGGAGCAGCCAGAGGTCAGCCCGGGCCCCCTTGCAGTATTGATGCTGCTGGCTCTCCGCATGGCCCTGGTTTTGCACACACCCCTGCCCCCAAAACCTCCCACCTTCCAGGGCTGATCCCATCCAATGCCAATGGTCAGGCCTGGCTTGCAAAGCTGCCCATAAGGGATGAGCTGCTACCGAAAGGTCCCGTGGTAAACACGCTCCCTGCAAAGCCTGACCTGCGCTACCGGCAGGCAGGACCATAACCGAGCAGAGCAAAGCAGCGGAGCAGGTGTCTGCCTGGGGCAGGGACTACGCTGCGGTACCAGCTCTTCCCTCTTTGCTTACCGCTCTCGTGACGGCTGCCCTCGGCTCCCGAGCAAGGAAGTGAATTACCTTCCAGCGGAGACTGGCTAGTAACAACAGACCTCTGATGACCAAGACGTCCCGGCCAGCAAATGCTTTTGCTTTGCTCTTCCCAACGGCAGGTCTAAAAATATAACCCCAGAGCCAGGTTCTGCTTTGTTTCTAATATTTGCCTCACCTCCTGTGCACAGCTCTGCACGTGTGTACAAGCAGCAGCGCAAAGCTGACGCTTCTCTCCGAGATAGGCAAGTATTTAACAGCACTAGGGCAGGAGGACGGGAACAGAGATCAAGGCCAAAGCGACCAGGTGTCTCCAGGCGGGCACCCCTGGCTCAAGCTCGGGAGCCAAAGACCCCCGGACATCCATCAAGCTGCGCCTCTCTCCCTACCAGCTGCTCTTGAAAAACGCTGGCTTCAGCAGCGCCCAGGTCCAGAGCGGGGACCGGAGCCCAGGCGGTGGGGGGCCAGCCCCTACCGCAACCACTAGCCCCGCTGCTTCCTGAGCCAGCACCGCTGCCAGCCCCGGTCCCTGTTTCCCACAGGACAGACGCACACCAGCATCTGCGACGGAGTCTGGCCACCCCATCGAAGCAGCCGAAGCGAGGCGTGCGGGTCCCAGCAAAAAAGGCTGCGGGGCTTCCCCAGGCGGTCTGGGGGGACGTGCAGCCGGTGCTGCCAGGTGCTGTCTCCCACGGGAGACGTGCCCAACCAGGGTGCCCCCTGCCCAGCCTCCAGCATCAGGGCTGCGGGAGCTGGGATGCTCCGCGCCCCCTGCCCCTCTCCTCCCGGGCACGGCCAGGCTCGGGCCCTTTCCTTCCCCGACCCCCAGGGCATCCCCTCCTGGGCCCTTACCGGGGCAGGTCCAGCGACGCTGGCAAGGCTTTGTCCGGGGAAAGCGAGCCCAGCCCAGCTGGCCCCTCCCCGGTAAGGGCTGGCCCGCCCCGAGCACCGCCTCCCGAGCCCGGCTGCAGCCCGCGCCGCCCCTCCCCGGGCAGGTGGGGGGCAGGGGGCAAAGGGACGTGCCCAGGGGCACATGGGGAGGCTGTGGCGGAGGCCACTCGGGCTGTCCTCCGCTTTGGGGTGCTGGAGAAAGGCTCCTTCCCCCTGTGTCCTGGGGTGGGGGGTTGGCTGCTGGCACGGCGAGAGCCAAGAGGTCTCCGGTCCCGGCCTCGCAGGCTGCCTGGAGGGGAGCAGGGCTGTTCTCAGGGTGATGGGTACTTCCCTGTGCCAGGATGCCCGCGTGTTACAGGCTGGATCCCTGGGGACACAGTTATCTCCGGCCCTTGAGCACAAGGGAGAGGATTGGAGAGGGGTTTCCCCACGCCGTGGGGTTTATCGTCGCTGCTTTTTCTCCCCGTTTCCTTGACGGCTCCGAATCTCCTGCGTCTCAGCCTGGTCATGGGTGGGAGACCCCGAGGCCCTTGGCACACGGGGAGCTCCTCCGGCAGCGAACGAGGGCCCAGCTCGGAGGGTCTCTGCGGCGCAGCTGGGGGAAAGGCCCCAGGAGGTTAACTCAGGCGGGAGCAGCTTTGCCAGGCTACCGCCAAGTTTGGCATGTGAGGGGAGAGGGTGACATGCTGAGGTGTCCCCCTGGTTTTAGGCCAGCCGCTCAGTTGAGGGAGAAAGGTGTCAGCAGCCAGGACAGGCCATGCCTGGAGCAGTTCTCCGCAGTAGCCCCAGGGCACCTGGCAAGATGTGGAGGAGACTGAGGGATACTAGCAGGGCCGGGCATCTTCAGCTGGGGCAGCCCGGAGATGGATGGACCCTGGGCGGCCAGCTGTGAGCGGGGCGCGCCGGAGGAGGGCTGCGGGCGGCCAGGGCAGTGCGCGGGGGCAGGAGCCTTGTCTAACGGGCTTGCTTTTCTGCATCGGTTTTTCCTCCTCCTGCTTCAACTGTGCGGTGCTTGCTAAACCCTTGGGCTCATTGCTTGCAAAGGGGGACGATATTACTTCTCTGGGGCGCTCAGGTGATAGTTTCCTGGCATTAGCGGGGGGGCTGAGCTGCCGCTAGGTTTGTATGGATGCACGTGGCTTGATGTGGTTTTTTCATTTGATGGCTGTGAGAGAGCTCCCAGATAATTGGGCCCAGCCCTCGTTAGCGCCAGGAGAGGGCTTAGGAGCAAATCCGAAAAGCTGGTCCCGGATACTTAAATTGCACCCGCATCAGGGGGGAGGAATTCAAGGCACGCAGGGAGAGGGGGAATGCCCGTTGCTTTTCTCCAGAGATTTTTTTTCTCTCCAAAGAACGGCTGAGCGGCGCCCAGTAGAAGAGATGCACAAGGTCTTAATAAGGTCCACTGTTGTGTGTATGGGACCTACTGAAGAGGAAGAATGACCCCTAAATACGTCTTGAGAAGGATGTGTCACAAATTTGGGGACAAATGAGGGGAAATGACAAGTGGAGAAGAATGTCTAATAGGCTGGGAAGGTCTTGAATCACTCCAGTGGCCAGCAGAGAAAAGGCCCTTCTCCCTGGCTTCCTCCCTGCGGGCGGTTAAGGAGACGAAGGGGTGATGTTGAGCGCTCTTAGATCTACCTCGGTGTAGATGACCAGCCACAGAGGAAAAACATGTCCTTGGCTGAAAGACACGGGCTCTCTCGAGCCAGGAAGCAGGAGCGTACGGATTCCTTACATGGGACATTAGCTGGGTGGCACGTAAAAGCCTTGCACAACAGCCTGACAAATGTGTGATTGCTGCCCGCTCTTTGACAGATCATCACCCAGCCTTGCAAGCGGACACAATAGCTCTTGTGAAAGATGCCATTTTTTTCTCGTTCCTATTACCAGAACAGAACCAGCAATCGAAAATGGGTAAAGGTTTAATTTTAATACACCCCATGTGAAAAGCAAAGGCGTGCAACACCAAAGCCTACGTTACATCCTGTAATCCCATGAGCGACATCAAGAGTTGCATCTATTTAGGGCAAAAGTGAACTTGGCCTAGTATGATGTTGTAATTAGAGGAACCAACACGTCTGCAGACAACTGTGTGTTACCCTTGCCTTCCTTGGAGAGCAAAGCAGGTTAAGCATTGCAACCACCTGCACGGTTTGCTTTGCATTCACGAGCTTCCCCTATCAAGCGGAAAAAGGCAGTCTAAAGATCCATAAAACCATCCTTGCCTTATCTTCTCTCCTGAACACACACTCTTTGTCTGAATCTGGTTTTGATAGAAATCAACTGCTTTCTCATGTATATACCAGTCTTTCCAGCTCTGCTGAGAGAGGCTTTTTAGCATAACTGCATTAGGAGAGTCATGTTTAAGAACCACTCTAATTCCCCCAAGGCAGGAGTGAAATTGCAAGTGCATGGTGTTCTTCCCTTCCAGCTGACTCCTTTTACACGCTTACATCTTGTTGCATGTATTCCTGAACACAAAACCATTAACCACCCAGCTACTGCTCACCGGACAAGTGACAGGGGAGCCCAGCCACGCAGCAATGCACCTGAGGCTGTGAATAATGGAGGCACCTCAAGTGCCTTGACCCCAATAGGCAGGTTTGTGCATGTGAAAGTAGACACAAATGTGTCTGCGGGTCCAGGCGTGAGAGTTGCACGCCAGTCATAAGCCACCATGGAAATGAGTGTTGCTGTCTTTAAGCTGCGTTGGACAAAATGTGAAGATCGAGGCGATCCTTGCTCTGCGGAGGTCAGGGACTTTGGCTAGGTGTAGGGAGGGCAAAACGAGGGATAGGAATCCCAAAAGGCATTACCTTCTGGGTTTTTTGAATCACCTGCAGAAATTGGACTTGGCCTTTACCCAGACGCCCGTCTGAGCGTGTGAGATGGCAGCATGTCTCTGTTCTGCAGCAAAGGCAGCAGGAGGGTTTGGTGTCTTCCCAAAGGGCTTCGTTCCAGCAAGGGCTTGAGGATGATCAGATCGGTTACTCCCGCTGCCAGCTGACTGACTGTACGGCCGTAAGCCAGTCTGAAACCAGTACGTGGGAGATCTTTGCCCACACAACCCAGTTTGGTTCGAGCGCGAGGTCTCCATGCAGCAAACCGCAGAACACAGCACAGGGCGGGGGTGGTTGAGCCTTGCCCGCAGACTTTGTTTGACCCCCCCCCTTCCTTCCACGTAGTAAGTGAACATGAAATAGGGCAATGCACGCACCTCGTCGCCTCCCACACGAACGCCCCTTGCTAAACTACCGCGCCCTCGGCCTGGACTGCAGGGAGCCAGGCTACTTGATACTGAGAAGCCAAGCACAAAGGTAAGTAAGCAGGCCAGAAGAGCGAACTAATTAAACACAACCCCCTGGGCAGGCCGCTATCTGGCTGGCTCATTAATTAAAGAGGGTTTCCTCTCTTGTGCAGACTGACCTATTGTTCTGGCTCTGATGGCCTCCCATCAACTTAATCCAGACGGAGCTATCTAGGGATGGAAACATCAGTCCACACCCAGCCTGCTTGTTTTTGCACACTTTGGTCTCCACTTGTGCTGCTTATTTTGGCTGGGGAACGTGGAGATGTGTTGTGGTGTAACACGTGGCAAGTAAGTAGATAGACCTATCTCAGTCCATTCCTTCACGGCTCCCCGGCAGAGCCGCAGCAGTCATGGATGGCATGCATGAGCCTTGCCTGATCGGATTTGTGTAAATCAAGCAGGACTGCTGAAATCAGTATCTCCCCTGGGAACGAGACCACGGCCCGGCACAGGTGGATCTCAGAAGCTGCAGCTACACTGTGTATGGGGACGTGGGCATACAGGTTATTTTTATTAGGGTGATTTTGTAAGCTCTGTGCCCTGAGCTTCATCTTGCGCTCACCACCTCTGCGTCGCCCCGTCTGGAAAACAGTCTTCTGAAGCAGCCGAGAGAAAATGGCATTGTTGCAAGAATCTCTTAGCCCTCAGCATCCCCTCTGGGGCTTGACACCCAAGACCTCTTTCCAAGGCAGGCTTCAGCGGTACCTTGTCTGGGTAGTGATGGAAATTGCAAACTATTTCAGAGCCCCACGTTTTGCCGTGTTGGGGAACAAGTGGAAGGGAAAGGAGGTGGGGTTGCTTTAACAGCGGGAATGTCAGACTCCAAATTTTGAAGCTGGGAATTGTAATTGTTTAAAAAACTGGGAAATTCGCGTTTTGAGCAGTCTGAGGTCATGGGCGAGGGGAAACTGGGTTTGTTCCCTTGTCCCGGGTTTCAAGGCAGGGAAGACTGTTCTCATGCCAGCTGTGCCACAGCCTTTCTGTATGACCTTGGCCCAGTCACTGAAGGCGCGTTCACCCTGCCCAGTGCAGCGCCGTGTCAGGATGCAGGAGCGAGCTCTACGTTCGCAGCAGGGCAGGGCTCTGCCGGGGCTAATTTACCACGAGATGCCCTCGGCAGGTTTGGGGTATCTCTGCAGCACTGTGCAGTATAGGCACAGCCTTTCAATACAGGGGACCAGCGTCTCCCTGCCCCCCAGGCTGTGATCTATACACTGATGACCGGGAGGCACTTATGATGCCAGGGACACGTGTTAGGAAAGGCAGGCTCAGCAGTCAGGGGTGGTGGTTTGGGCAGGCTGTTTAAACATTACCCAGAGCATGTGAGGTCAGGACTTCCTGCTTTTGCTGAATGACTGGAGAGTCAGTGGGTTTATTACGCAGAGACCGGAGCTTAAACACTCAGCGAAGAGAAGAGACTTCTGAGTCACTGACTGGCCTGGGTTTGTGCAGCATGCACCGCAGCAAGCTGGACTGGAAGGGCCTGTGGGCTATAAATAACAATGCTCTGAGGCTTTCGGGGGCGTCTGGTAATAGCTACTGGCCTCCACCTCCTGACAAGCGGCTGGGAGAGTGAGCTAGAGGAGAAGGGTGGGCTGGTAACGTGCTCGCTGACCTGCAAGGGCCTGGCTGCCCACTCACTGTCCCTGGGATGGTGGGGGAAGTCCTGAGCCCCCGCAACGTCAGCGGGAGATTTGCGACA